CTTCTTCTTCTTTTTGCTGTTTGGCGGACATGCAAAACCAAATACTGCATAATGAAACATGCTGTATTGGACTGTGTACATACCCAAGTGTACTCAGGTACGGAACAATGTTACTAATGTGAACACAGACCAGTATGGGAGAGGGGAGGGGGAGGACTCGTGCTCGGGGAAGGAGCAAAACAATGTGAAAACGCCCTTAATGGTTGCATTCTTTTAATCAAATCAAAATGTATATTATGATAAATAGTTTGAGCTGTTGTTTCATATGCTTCTGGTTGGGTATTACAGTCTTTAAATACAAACACAAGTGTCAGTAGCAGAAATGTGGCAAGTTTGACAACTAATGCAAATGTGCCAGAGCCTTAAACTGTAGTTACTGTATGGTTTCTGGATTAACTAACTAATCCAACTATAAGAGGGTTCAACTGCAGGATAATTAGAGCCACCACAACGACTCAAGATGCTTTGTCTGCGTCTGTCTGTCTGTCTGTCTGTCTGGTTTTCCAAATTCTCTAAGTGGTGCTCATAAAAGACGGGAAACTACAGCCACACTTTGAAATACTGTGATGATTAAGAGGAAGGAAGGAAGGAAGGAAGGGGTTAGCGAGGGAAATTATTATTCTTTTTATGAAAGAGTGTCATTTTACAGAGTCATCATGACTGTGTAAAATTACACAGTCATGATGACTCTGTAAAATTACACAGTCATATACCTCAAACTAAACTTCTATACAGTCAAATAAAGAAAAGCCATCGAGAAAGATTAGAAAACATGACAACACCTGTTTTCACCCTGAATTAGCTACCATTGGGTTGCACACCTCAAAAAGACCGTTTGTGCAAATGTAAGTCCTACTTCTAAGCATGATTTGTTCTCGACACTTTAACGGCTGTGTCATACTTGCTAGCTTAGCACTAATGACCTCTTAAACCTCACAGGCATGATGTGGCCCCATACATCCTTCTCTCACACACACTACGGTAATCCCGATTGCACGCACAGCCATACATCCTCACCTGCTCAAACATGTGCTCGGCCACAAAAAACAGGTACTCAAACATGCAAAAAACACACTCAGAGAGCTGGCTCAGAGCCACTGACGTGCACTGATTTAATGTTAAATTTGTCTTTTTTTATGGGCGACATAGTTTCTTATACTCAAACCAGAGTCTTCCATCCTATTTTCCCAGACGTGGACACGCCCCTGGATAAAACAGGTGTTTTAGTCGACTCTACTTTTAAAGATCTTCCCTTGGTTTTCTTAAAAACCAAACTTTTGGCACCTTTTGGTGTGGTTGCATGTGGAGGGAAAGGGTCCAGATGTAGGCCCTCCTCTTGAGACATTTGCAACAGCTTTGGATGGAGGATTAATACTTTTTGATTTTGGTTATAGAAGTCTTGTTTTCATTGAGGAGATTGTTGTTAATGTCAAATGTCTTATCTTTTTCCATGTCAGTTTATTACTTTGCGTTTAAGCAGCTTGTTGGCTTGTTTGATTTGACTAATTGTCCACTACTTCACTTCTACAGTCATGTTAGTTTTGCATCCATGTTCATGTTGTGCAGCCCTCAGAACTTAACAACATGCATCATGTAAACAACTACTTGTCATAAATGTGAATAACGAGCTCCAAATGGAGGCAGCTATAATCTGTAAAATGCTGAAATGTGGCTAAACTTTTCAGATTTAAAGGGCTATGAATAAAATAAAGAATGAATGAAGGCTGGCAGATATAAACATCTTCAGGCTCCTCACGTCTGGTTCTACTTGTGGCTTTCGTTCTTAATCATTAGCACCTCCTTTTACACACTCACACACACAGTAAAAAAAGAGAACAGCAACACACCACTTACATGTCTCCACTCATTTACTGTCCCTCCCTCAAAGCCAAAATTCCTCATAATGAGCTATATCACTAACCACCTTTCTGCTTATGCACCTCCAGTGTCAAAACACTTCCAATGTGATCTGAATCTTCACTAATAAAGCTGATACTCCGAGCATAAACAACATGTATTCAGAATAAGCCACACAGTAACGATAGGAAGGTGACAAGTCAACATCAGTCGAGTGACACTTGTGTCAAGAAGCATCCAAACTTTTCCTGGCACAACTTCAGCAGAAACAAGTCATGACAATAAAGATTACACACAACAATAAATGTTGCACAATGGCGTACTACAAAGTACATTTTCTGCCAACAGCTAACCAAACCAGATTAACAGAACTTGCACAAGAAAACAGAATAGATTCATTTTGATGCAGCACCACCCTAACGATCCAATTTCCCCAAAACAGTTATGTGTCGGTAAGACAGAAATTTGCCCCATTTTAAACACATATTCTGTTATGTAACTCACCAACATCTCAGATGCTACAGAAAATAAAAAGGTATGAAAACTACTCTGCCATCTACACAAAGTTTTACTGACCCCCAGAGGGAAATATTCAACTATCAGTCCTCCAGAGAGAGTTCAAAGTCCAGAGGACAACACCTCTAAGTCCAATCCACTTACTACACGACAGCTACTTCACACTTTTATCTCAGTTGGTATATCATTTTTATCTATGCATAACATAATCTATATCTTGTAACCAGTCTGTGCAACGACTGCTTTATAATGAGCAATGTTAATCTGCATTATTTGCGTTAATAGTAGTAAGGTGTACAATAATGTATTTTTATAATTGCACTCATTATTCTATTATTATTGCATTTTAATTCATCACTTGATTACTGTCTTTCCTTCATACTGGCTGCTGTAACAAGTACATTTCCGGCAGTGGGATGAAAATAGCTCGTAAGTTTATCACCATTCATGCTCTAACCAAAGTGAAACAGAGCAGGCTGGATATTTGCATGAAGCCAGGTCCTGTGCTTGTCTTTCTTTACGTCACCCTGCCAGATGGAAAACGACATAGCAATCACTCACTTAATGCACCACCATTAGAGAATATCACCCTGGTCAGTCATATTAATAGATAACAAGCTGCCCTGGCTGTTTTGGGGACAATGGGGGGGGGTTGCATGCCAGGGAGCTGGCATGGGATCTTTCCGATGAGCCCTGGCCAAGGGGCTTGAATTGGGTAGGGAGCGTTTGAACATTTCCCTGCTAATACCCAGCAACTCAAGGATTGCCCCTTACAATATTTTGTCAGAAGAAATATAAAGCACCTTCAATATGTAGAAGTTAGTTTATCTGTCACTATTAACAGAGACTCAAGGCTGCAACAGTGTTCATTAACTTCCCTGATAAACCTGAGAGTGATACAGAGTTACACCAGGCTACATGATCCATTTGGATTTTTTTTTCCTATCAAAGCTATCCATGTGCCTCTTGTTCTCTCCCAGAGCTGAGGAAGAGCAGTATAGGCCTATATTTGAATATGATAAATTAATATCAGTGCACTGGTGTTTTGTTTACAGTGGAACACTTGAGATCATAGCACCTCAGCCTGTAAGCATGTGGTATAAAAAGTCCTTAAACACTTTGAGGTGCATCACTTTGCAGGCATTATTATATTCTCATACATGTGAAGTATTTACAGATTATGAAAGCAGGTAAACACTTTTAAGTGTGACAAATGTTGAGGGATTGAGAGAGTAGGCTAAAGAGGTTTGAAACTAGGATTCCTGTGGTCATGGAAACAATTTGACATTTAAAAAAATGTGTTTTCCAGATCTTGTGGTGGTCTGAAAAAGTCACACATGTCCAAAATGAATCAAAAAATAAATAAAGATATTTCATCTGCCTTTTTGGAATTTATAAAACCATAAAAAGAATCCCACCCATATGTGGGCAAAATCTCAGGGTAGAAGATTATGAGTTAGGTCTTAAGCAGTGATGCAACAGAAACACATTCCCTTAATGTATTTGATTTTTTTAAACAATCTGCAGGGAAATCAAACTTTTCACTCTGTTATTGAGAGACAAGCTTCACACACACACCAAGACACAAACTGGACGGGTTAGGGAGAAATGTCCGAGTGAGGGGGGCTGCACAAGGACTGATTCAACGGGCAGCTGGGGGGTTTGATGCCTGGCTCAAGGGAACTTCGGCAGTACTCTCATACTTGGTCCGTATGGCTCTCTCATGTTATCTGTGTTATATTGAACTTCTCAGGGATCCAAAAAGTCTGAATAACAGCAGCTTGAATCTTGCAAGAACTTCAACTTCATGCAGGATGAGCCAATCAGATAATCAATTAATTGTGTTTACCTTTTGATAAATACATTTTAACCACTAATTTGTGCTCAAAACACACAAGAATACAGGAATTTTAATTGTTTGATGTACAAAATTGCCTGTTGGCGGGCCCCCACACAAAGCTGTGACCCCCCCCCCCCTCCTCAGTATTGAAAACCAAACCTACGCCCTTGGCTCTGACCCTCACAGACTGCCACCATGTGAAACTCATCCAGCTCTGTGCAGAACAGATAACACATTAAGGCCTCGGTCGGTCAAATGCGCTGCTGTGTTAAGTGTAAATCAAAGCTCGCTGCTGGGGGATCTCCTCTCTCTCTCCTGTGTGTGTGTGTGTGTGTGTGTGTGTGTGTGTGTGTGTGTGTGTGTGTGTGTGTGTGTGTGTGTGTGTGTGAGTATAAGCTGTCCGAGGGTTCTGGCTCCGTGCCGACCCCACTCGCTTGTGTGTGTGTCCCCCGGGCGACAGGCTGTCAGACACGGCAGCAGCGGCCGGTCGGATGCGGGCAGGCTGCAGCCTCACATGTGACATCACGCCACGCTCAATGAAAACAACGTCAGTTTAAAATTGCACCTATAAAAGCCGTTAATTTAATCATGTGTCGTAATAAAATAAAAATATTCACCGGAGCGGAGAGGAAAGAGGAAACGAGGAAACGAGGAGCTGGCTAATTAACAACTTCGCTGCTCTAACGGTTAAAGTTGAGATGAGAAAAGATTTTTTTAAAACAGCCGTTTAATTTGAACAGCAGCTCTTTGTTTCGACGGTTGGTCGTCCGTGAAGTCGTCCACTCACCGAGGTTTCTCTGGGAGGATTCGGCTCCGTCCGGTAGAGGTTCGGTTCGGCGGTGTGTGTGTGAGAGGGGGTCGTCCGGGGGGGTGGGGGTGTCCTTGTTCTTCACAATGTGCTACACGTAGATCCACCAGCGCGGCTCAGGGTACCACACAGACTGTGGACAACTTCTGGGATGGTGATGATGACACTACAACCACCGCGCATGCGTACGAGAGCCCCGAGCAGCCAGTGGAGGAATCTGAGCAGATGCATGTGCGTGTAGAGAGGAGGGGGGGACAGACTCTGTTATAGAGAGTAGTTTTTACAGAGAGTTATTATAGGCTTCGACTTGGTAGAAGAAGTATTTAAAAACATGTTAAAGCACCGATACCACAGTGTAAAATACTCCACAGCCAATAGAAGTCAAACAATCAAAATGTAATGATAGAAAAACACGAGCATAGTAACTATTATCAGGGAAATCAAGGCTACTTAGATATTTTTAGGTTTACTTAAAGTATCAAAGGTAAAGGTAGAAAGGTAGGCCAATGTCCTCTGGTTGTATGAGACGATATTATCACATAATAATAATAATAATAATAATAATAATAATAATAATAACTTTATTTTTATAGCACCTTTTAAAAACACAGGTTTACAAAGTGCTTTGACAAACAGCAAGAACAAACCAAACTAAACCAAACACAGAAGAACATAAACAACAGCAAGAACATAACAAATGGAACTCATAGTGCACGATACCCAACAGACATATATAACCCCGACCATCACAAGAACCATCATAAGAACCATCATAAGAACCATCACAAGAACCATCATAAGAACCATCACAAGAACCATCATAAGAACCATCATAAGAACCATCACAAGAACCATCACAAGAACCATCATAAGAACCATCACAAGAACCATCATAAGAACCATCATAAGAACCATCACAAGAACCATCACAAGAACCATCATAAGAACCATCATAAGAACCATCAAAAGAACCAGGCAACACAAGAACCATCATAAGAACCATCACAAGAACCATCACAAGAACCATCATAAGAACCATCACAAGAACCATCACAAGAACCATCATAAGAACCCAGGCAACACAAGAACCATCATAAGAACCATCACAAGAACCATCACAAGAACCATCATAAGAACCATCATAAGAACCATCATAAGAACCATCACAAGAACCATCACAAGAACCATCATAAGAACCATCACAAGAACCATCATAAGAACCATCATAAGAACCATCACAAGAACCATCACAAGAACCATCATAAGAACCATCATAAGAACCATCAAAAGAACCCAGGCAACACAAGAACCATCATAAGAACCATCACAAGAACCATCACAAGAACCATCATAAGAACCATCACAAGAACCATCACAAGAACCATCATAAGAACCCAGGCAACACAAGAACCATCATAAGAACCATCACAAGAACCATCACAAGAACCATCATAAGAACCATCATAAGAACCATCATAAGAACCATCACAAGAACCATCACAAGAACCATCATAAGAACCATCACAAGAACCATCACAAGAACCATCATAAGAACCACCATAAGAACCATCACAAGAACCATCATAAGAACCATCATAAGAACCATCACAAGAACCATCACAAGAACCATCATAAGAACCATCAAAAGAACCCAGGCAACACAAGAACCATCATAAGAACCATCACAAGAACCATCACAAGAACCATCATAAGAACCATCACAAGAACCATCACAAGAACCATCATAAGAACCCAGGCAACACAAGAACCATCATAAGAACCATCACAAGAACCATCACAAGAACCATCATAAGAACCATCATAAGAACCATCACAAGAACCATCATAAGAACCATCATAAGAACTATCACAAGAACCATCACAAGAACCATCATAAGAACCCAGGCAACACAAGAACCATCATAAGAACCATCACAAGAACCATCACAAGAACCATCATAAGAACCATCATAAGAACCATCACAAGAACCATCACAAGAACCATCATAAGAACCATCATAAGAACCATCATAAGAACCATCACAAGAACCATCATAAGAACCATCATAAGAACCATCACAAGAACCATCATAAGAACCATCATAAGAACCATCATAAGAACCCAGGCAACACAAGAACCATCATAAGAACCATCACAAGAACCATCATAAGAACCATCATAAGAACCATCATAAGAACCATCATAAGAACCCAGGCAACACAAGAACCATCATAAGAACCATCACAAGAACCATCATAAGAACCCAGGAAACACAAGAACCATCATAAGAACCATCACAAGAACCATCACAAGAACCATCTTAAGAACCCAGGAAACACAAGAACCATCATAAGAACCATCACAAGAACCATCACAAGAACCATCATAAGAACCATCATAAGAACCATCATAAGAACCATTACAAGAACCATCACAAGAACCATCATAAGAACCATCATAAGAACCATCATAAGAACCATCATAAGAACCATTACAAGAACCATCATAAGAACCATCATAAGAACCATCATAAGAACCATCATAAGAACCATCATAAGAACCATTACAAGAACCATCATAAGAACCATCATAAGAACCATCATAAGAACCCAGGAAACACAAGAACCCAACAACACGAGCTGAGACCAAGAGGACCAAAGATTTAAAACGATGTAAGAAACTAAAAGAGATAAAAGCAAATCAAAAGAGAACAGCAATAAGAAGGTAAGAGCAGAAAAAGAAATAGAGACAAGTGGTTAAAGGATACATTTTTTAAATAATATTAATAAAAATAAAAAGTAAATATAAATATAAAACATAAATAGACAAAGTAAGGAACATAAGAAATTAAGATAAGAAAGAGGAGTATATAATAAGAAGATAATGAGACATGGAAGTGCAGAGGTATTATTAAAGATTTGTATTCAAATTATTTTAATGCAGAAAAATGTCCCTCTTGAGTTCATGTGTACAGCTGCTACTTGAAATTTCATATATCTTTAGTGAAATATACTTAAAGTACCACAAGTAACAGTAACACAGATTAATATCCCCTGTGAGTGTATTACTGATAAATGTAGTTCAGGTTATATTATATTTAAAGACCAGACGAGCAGAGAGGAAACAAAGGTTACTTTTCCATTCTTTCAATCTAGCACAACTATATTTCTTTGTACATAACTACTAATATACCTTTATATATGTGGCGAGATTTGTAATGCTGCTGTACGGGATCGCTGCTAACAAAGTTTTGTTGTGTGCTTTTATACAATGACAATAAAGTGCCTATTTATCTATCTTATTAAAGTACAACAGTTAAATATAAATCTATATAACATGTAAGTAATCACATGAAATGACTTTATTCTGTATTCTTTGTCATATATCTAATCATACACTACTGTAGAAGTAGCTTATGTTTAATGGAAAATACAATGAAAGTATCAGAAGTACTCAGTAATGTCATTTATGTCACCTACACAAGGCTACATAAACAGCTCTGTTTACAGTAAAGAGAAAGTACCTGGATGGAAACTATTTGTTTTAAAAGGTTAATGCAATCCGGTGCCACATCGCTTTAACAGCTTGAAACTGTGACGCTGGTAAACTGCTGACTGCGCAAAAGTTGTGTTTGTGTTTGTCCCTTTTTGGACCATTGCTCATTGTTTTGACCTGGACAGTACTTCTCTTAACCTTACTGTTCTCTGAATCTGTGAAAAGTTCACAAAGTTACAACAGATATTTTTCTTAACAATGCATCGCTCCTGTTGTCATGTCATATCAAAAATCTTGTAAAATTGTATCTGAGAGATCTGGAACAAAAAGAAAGTGGACATTAAAAAAGTCTTGTGAAGTGTGGAAATACATAATACAAGCTTGTGAAATTAAACATGCAGTCCAATCAGGTTGAATAAATGAACACTCTTCAGCAGACAGTACTTCTTTGCAGGGCGTGTCTTATTGTGTTGCACCATGCTGTACACTTCTGTCCTGTGTGGAAATCATGCTCTTTCCCTCCCTCTTTCTTCAGCTGAGTAGAGAGATAATGACAAAAATTAGAAATCGCTTGAGGTCAAGACTGGGTGTGTTGCAGAAAGACAGTTCATGATTATCAAATCAAATGAAGTTTGCAAGCATGAGCATGCAACTGCACTGAGGTGAAGCCCAATTTCATTCTGCACTCTGACCCTTTTAATGACTGTTAATGTAATCACAACGAGCAGTAAAGATATTTCTTCACTATATACTGCTGATATAAGATTGCGGAAGTCAAAGCCTTAGAAAAACAGCTGTCAGTGCGTTCTCATTTACTCGTGCAATCGTGCTGTGTCAGAATAATTTGAAAAGGTCACAGCATCAACTCCAAAGGTTGGTGAAAAAGTTAGTTGAGGTCTTGCAGAGTTAATATCCTCTCCTGCAGATAAATGGTATGCAACATCCCAAATGTACAAACAGGATCCTAAAGGACGGCACTGATGGACAGATGTCAGACACCCGAGCAGTAGGGGGTTCAGTGCTTTGCTCAAGGGCAAATTGGCAACACTCAGTGAACTGGCACCGCTCCAGCTCCCAGACCAGTTTCAAGACTTGGTCTGCACCAGGACATGAACTGGCAACCTTTCGGTTCCCAACCTAAGTCCCTGTAGTCTCTTTTACACATGCACTGCTGAAAATTTCTTAACGATTTTAGGACAGATTTCCTCTGAAATCTTCTTAAGTTGCCTCTTCACATGCATACACATGTATGCACACACATTTTTTCACATATGCACCTCACAGTGGGAGACTTTCCCTTTCGATTGGTTGGGTCTGAGGAAGCAGGAAAAGGATATCAGAGAAAAAGTGGAAAAGCTGGCAAGTATGAAGCAGGTTAATATGTGCACAAAGATCACACCACTTTCTCACCAGTTGCATTGTTCAACCATCTTCACCGCTGCACATCAGCTCACCGACATCGACTGAAAAACTTTACTGATAAAACAGTGGGTGAAGAAAATACTGTTGGCGTTCACACATGCAGCTCATTTTGTGTAAACACAATAAATCTGGAACAAAATGCATCTGTTTCTCTGTCACTTCACAGATGCACAGTAAAAGCTCTAACGTTGGAAGAAGCTGCTTCCCAACTTGTGAAATCGTACTTTCCGAGAAGCACATGAATGAAACATTAATCTTATTTTTTCAA